GTGAGCATAAACTCGCTGTAGAAGCATCATTAAAGTAATGAGCAGGAAGTTAGTGCTGAAATTTACAATAAACAGTAAGGAAGAGTGAGAAAGATGGAGTGAGAGCGAGAGAGAGAGAGAGAGAGAGAGAGAGAGAGAGAGAGAGAGAGAGAGAGAGAGAGAGAGAGATCCCCAATCCCATAAGGAGAAATCTTAATCCTGAGTGTTGCTTCTGACTCATTCTGGTTAATTAAGTCGAGTCAAGTGAAAGGAAAATGGGGTCTTGCCTTTTTCTGAGCCTGTAGGATCAGCACATACTGTGTTTGCAGCTTAAATGCTCCCTCTCCACAAACGTCCTCTATACACTCAGAAAACACAGATAGGACAAATTGCATCCAGTCTAATTATTTTTGTTAGCATGTCCTCCACACTCTCATTTGACACACACCAAAATTCCTCACAGCAGCACACATTTCCCATTAAGTTGTACATTTACATTCACACTTTGGGCTCATGCTCCTGTTTAGGTTTCAGGCAATGTGTGCTAACAGTTTCATTTATCACACATTATCATGTAGCCCCCATTTATGGTAGATGCAATTTGCTCTGCACATCCGGCACTCAACTGCTAACACACACACACACACACACACACACACACACACACACACACACACACACACACACACACACACACACACACACACGAAGAGAAAGAGAAACTCAGAGAAACACAGAAGTTTGTTGAACAGCTAATGGAAAATTTCTTTGTTGTATTATGGTGGAAAGATTTCGCCCTGCGACAAAGGGATACGGCAAACAAATGAAATGTCACACTCCTGAGTAACTCTAAAAATGAAAGGAGTTAGGGGTTGCCATTTGAGGACATCTTAGATGTGCTTTAGAGAGTGGAGCTGATAAAATAAATAGTCTTGTTGTACCTGGCAGCAGCTAAAGTAAAGCTGCTAACTTCCCTCTAAGAGCAAAAGAGTGAAACTATAAACATCTGGTATCTTTAAGATGGCTTCTGTAAAACTTTTTGCGTTTGACATTTACTTGTTAGATACAAGATTTTTTTTCCCCCAGGAATGTGGCTCGACTCCATCAAAATAATAACTGAAGTCATCATTTGAAATTTATAAAATTTTGATGTTAAATACAGCAGCAGCAGTTTACTGAATTATTTGGAGTTAAAATGTTCATGGATGGATGGATGGAGGGAGGGACGGATGGATGGATGGAGGGAGGGAGGGACGGATGGATGGATGGATGGAGGGAGGGACGGATGGATGGGTGTATGGATGGATAGATGGATGGATGGCTGGATGCATGAATGGATGGATGGATAGATGAATGGATGAATGGATGGATAGATAGAGGGAGGGAGGAAGGGAGCGATGTAGGGAAGGATGAAGGGATGGATGTATTGATGTGTGGGTGTATGGAAGGATGGATGGATGGAGGGAGGGAGGGAGGGAGGGAGGGAGGGATGAAGGGATGGATGGATGCATGAATTAATGGATGGATGGATGGATGGATGGATGGATGGAGAATTGTTGTTCCTGCTCCAATTCACCAGCTTCAGCTTTTATTCAACTTGCAGACACATAGTCTTTATACCCTGTGTCTGTCTGTGCGTGTGTGTGTGTATGTGTGTGTGTGTGTGTGTGTGTGTGTGTGTGTGTGTGTGTGTGTGTGTGTGTGTGTGTGTGTGTGTGCGTGCGTGCGCGTGCGTGTGCGTGTGTGTGTGTGTGCGTGTGCGTGTGTGTGTGTGCGTGCGTGTGTGTGTGTGTGTGTGTGGCTCAGAGATAGCAGAAATGTGACAGGGTTAAGCTGCATCCTCCTTTCCTCTCTCTCTTTACCTCCCTATCGGTCCACATTGTTATGCACGGTGCAGCACGGTCCCGCCGGGCAGCAAAGCTGTGGTCATGATGCGATCTCTCGTTTCCTTCCATGAGCTTCTCTACACGCCTCAAATGGTCTTGCCATATTTTGAAGACATTTTGTCCTCCGTTGTCTTCTCTTCCTCCTGCGTCTGTCACCAGCATTTATTTTTGTCCATCACAGATTATGTCTGGATCAGTGACCCATCCTCAGATAGCTGGACTGATTGATTCAGAAGTGGAGTGTAAAGAGAGAATGACTCTTTCACAGCTTGATGTTACTTACAGATCGCTGCTGAAGAGGTGTCGTACGTGAAAATGTTTCAGCTGCAGGTCAGAGCTGTTGGCCTCTATAGCTGTCTTTGCACAACAGTCATACGCTTTTTGTCTAAACTCCTGTCGTTGTTGGTAATAATCACCTTGTTGGGTTTATAATTTGATGGCAGAGACTAAGCTCTGTGTGTAGCAAGGACGTTTCAGCATGTGAAAGTCAGACAGCATTTACTAAAATTGAATAGAAGCAGGCTTTGCTATTGTGATGTGAGGAGGAATAAGAGGGTTTTTGATAAGTAGTTATGCAGGAGTGAAGGCTGCTGTGAGTAGGAGATACAAGTGGGAGTGACTAGGTTAGCTGGAGGCTCAGTCAGCAGAAGCAAACTTCTCCGAGGTTAAAACAAAGACAAATAATGTGGTAAACCGTGCGGGACACACGTTTGTGTGATATTAATTGTAGTGAAGATGGTTTTTTTTTTCTTTTGTTTACCATACTCACGCCTATTTGTCTGTAAGACTATCATCTCAAACCCAGTGTTGCTTTTTGTGTCTCATGTCTCAACTTAATAAACACTCCAAAGTAACGCTGGCTATTTTTAAGGCCAAGGTTGTTCTCTCAAGACCAAACAAGATAGAACCATGACATCAACCTATCAGAACTTTGAGTTAGTTTTGAAAAATGATGCAATTAAAAGAAAATAATTGAAACTGTAAAGAGAAAATGATGACTTGGTCTGGTTTCATGTGCGGGTTTGAAAACTTTTTATCTTTTAGCTTTAAAAATATATTTTTGTACATAAAACCTTGTAAATCTTCAGCAAATATTGTTATTTTATTGCTAAGTTTAAACTTATGCAAAAAGGATAATGGCATTCAAAAACCATGCGGATGAAGAACGCTGCAGTCAGCAACAAACACCAAGAGCAACCCAGTAAAAATGTTAATGCCGTCTGGTTGTGACCTACATCATGTTCCATATCACTGATTTTCACACACATGAATGTGATTAACATGTCCTAACATACTAGTTATCATTTACAGCGACATTGCCCTATTTGTCCATCTTTGTTTTCCTTGTTCTTCTTCATTCAGCAGTTCTTACCTGCTAATCAATCAAACTCAGGCCCCATTTTGGACTGGATCACTCCTAGTTATGGATAATGTTTTCTTTAGATGTTTCACAAAACTTCTTGTTAGAAATTCAAAGATATTTCAAAATAAACATGACAGTAAAGCACTAGACTACAGGAAATATTTTTTCCTATAAATACAGAACAAAACAATAAAAACCTGTTTCAGACAGCAGATTCAATACGGATCCACTGGCTAAGATAAAGAGTTTTCATTTTTGCTTAAAGGGACACAAGGCAGTTTTGGCTTACTTTTAGCTTCCCCTAGTGTCCGTTTGTAGAACTGAAAGCAAAACTATCTCCTCGCTGTGCGTTTGTCTTTTTAACACCTTAATCTAACAGCTGAAATGTCTCCCCAGCCTTCGTTAGTGTCTACAGGAGTGATTCATCATTAAATTAAACAAATCAGCTGTGTTCATGATTTAAGACATGCAGGAAATGAGCTGGAACCAGACTGCAGCGCCAGGTATGTCAGCTTTGTTTTTTCTAAGTACCAACAGAGTGGCCCACCACTCTGAAGCTGCAAGTGGAACATTCTGGCCACAGGGGGCGATAGAGGCTGGGTGGTCTTTCATTAACCCTGTAAAGGTGTCAGCAACAGTTTTTTTTTTAAAGGAAACGTCTATTTTGTGATAATTTGCAGTTAATTTAACTCCCAACAGTTTTTAGGAACAAAACATTAATGCAAAATTGAGTTTGAGTACTTTATGATCTTTGTTTTGGATTTCAATACATACGGGTTAGATTCTAATAAGCAGACTGAGATCAAAAGTTTATTTTAGATATTATGTAGCGTTAATATTGTTTTTTTTTTTCACTTTGATGAGAATCCTGTTCCTGGTATTCCCTCAAATTCCTGAAACTCATTGAGAAGTCAGGAGGAGGGAACAGTAAACTGTAGAGAAGCGCCTTCTAGCCTTCTACTCAAACACATCATTAATTTTAGATGATTGTAGGGAAACACCTGAGGTTAAACTCAGATTACTTCTGTACTCTGCTTGTCAAAAGCTGCCCAGTTTGTGCTTTTTACAGCATTTAGCTCTGCAGGAGCTGGAGTGAGTTCTGTTCCGGTGCTTCCAGTAAACGCAGCTGACGCAGACCGAAACTCTCATGATAACACATGTAACATCAAAGGTCATCCTAAAACCTGTAAATGTACCTGATTACTAACATTTATTAGAACAGAAGTCTCACTTAACAAAGTGGCTCTGACAGTTGCTGAGAAGATATTTAAACATTTTTTTAATTGATCAAAAAACATCCATTTCATGAAATGAATAAAAATGACTTTAATGCTTTCGTTTGCACAGGAAGTGAGCATTCTGTTAAAGCTGTGATAGTGAGGCCATATTGTACGGCTTGCGCTTAAACATGAAAAAATGGATTTCCTGGCCAGAAATCCATTTTAAGCGACCAACAGTAGAATCTTTAATTAGTTTTAGTTGGGCAAATATTGAAAAATAACAAGACTAAAGAATCTGCCTCCATCGTTCAGCCATGTTTTGAATTTCAGTTTCTCTGTAGATTGCTTTGCAAAGCCCTTGCATAACCAAATGATTCCTGTTAGATTTGCAGCATCAAAAATCTAATGTTTCACCGTGTGTGTGTGCGCGTGCGTGTGTGTGTGTGTGTGCGCGCGCGCGTGCATGTGTGTGTGTGTGTGTGTGCGTGCGTGCGTGCGTGCGTGCGCGCGCGTGTGTGTGTGTGTGTGTGTGTGTGTGTGTGTGTGTGTGTGTGTGTGTGTGTGTGTGAGACCTCAGAGGAAGCCTTCCACGCTGTGGTTGCGCTGCACTGCTGCATCCTGCTTTCTTCTGCTGCGTACATCCGCCCCTCTGTGTCTCGTTTTGACCTCGTTATTACCCTCGTTACCGTTAGCATTAGCGACTGCACCCTCTTTGATGATCGCCAGCAGCGGGCGTCACTGGGGCCATCCTCTCCGCTGTCACCATCATTCTCAATATGCTGTTATTATCACTGTCGCCATGATTTCTCCTAATGTTCTGAAATGAAGACAGATGCTGGAATAAACACTCCTGAACCCTAACTCTGCGTCACTGTTGAATGTGCTGCAGGGGCATGGTACCCCACCCCCTACCCATCCTCAGCCTTGATCAACACTTGTGGGCTTCGCATACTGTTAAGCCTGCTGCCAGACATGTGCTCCCATCCAGCCTGGTGTTCTCTAGCACTTCAGAAAGGCAACCCTCGTATGTGTTTCTCCTCTGAATATTTCAGAGGGGAGCTGACAAAACGCAGACAGAAACAGGCCGCTGATGACCTCCTTCTCATCGCCTCCTCCATATTTCCCTCTCTCTGCATCCCCTTACTTCCTCCTCTCATATTCTCCCCATCTTGCCCGCTTTTTCTCTCCCAGTTTCAGAGTCTCATCTTCGTCTTTCCTCTCCTCCCTCCCCCCACTGTGCATCACACTCTCCTCTCCTCCTTCCTGTTTCATGTTTTAAGTGTGCTCCTCTTCTTCCTCTGTCCTTCATCCCTGTTTTTCATGCATCCTCTTTCAACTTTCATCTCTCTCTCTTGCTCCTGTGTCTGATCGTCTCTCCTTTTCCGTTCCCTTTCATTCACCTTTTTCCATCTCTCCACTGTGATGTACACCGCTTTCCTGCCCGTCTTTCTGTCTGTTCCTACAGGGCTGTCTAAGGCCTCTGCTCGGTTAATTCATTCGTCGTGCATTGCCTCACATATCTGCAGGGTCAGGCAGGCACACAGAGAGGAAGAGGAGAAGAAGTCTGGAGATAAAAAAAGAGATTAAGTTTTATCGTCAAAACCAGAAAGTAAGAGCAGGATTGCGAGGTGTTGAGGTTTCTGTACATTTTTGTAAATCGTGTCATGACCTGGTTCTGTGCACTACTTGCTTTGTCAGTTCTTTTTGCTCCTGATCTAATATTTCAATCACATTGCTGCCATTGTCTCAGTCTCTGCTGGAATGAGCAGCATGTGTGGTGCATGCATACATATACTCCTCTTTAAACGCGCTCTGCTGATAAATCAGAAATGATGCGCATTCTTAATTGAACTGAATCTATTCTTTGTTGAAGTGACTCTTTGTGCTGCAGTAGATGATTTCACCAAGTCTTTCTAGGCTCAAATGTGGAATAATTACCTGCTGAATATATACGATGTAGACTTTGTTTTGGCATGTTGTTGGAAGGACCTGATTAATGATAAAACACATTTATAAATGCAGGAAAAACTCAAAAACTTGTTTTAACAGTAAAGAAACATTTAAGCCATTTATGTGTTTTTGTTTGTTGCTGGATGACTTCTGGAGAGATTGTTTATGTTGTAATGTCCAGCAATGGTCAGTTTTTAGGTACTGTTTGACCATTCAACATCTGGTCAAAATAGAGACACAAGACTGCATGTGCTCCCTTTAAATTGGCCTGCCTTCATCCCACCAGCTGGAGCTCAGAGCCTCTCTGCAGCTCTGAACACAGATAGCGTATCGTCAACAATGATGTTCTAATGGCTGCAGTGTCATGTACACATTATGAGCATTATAAGCCGTGTTGATTACGTGGTTATTCATATGTAATTTTATAGTTTAGTGAATAAAACCAGCAGAAAAATGGGTTCAGGGTAAGCTGGAGTTTCTTAATAAATCTGATCAAACAACCCTGTCTGGCAAAAATAACAGAAAAGTTTATAAAACAATCTTTTCTTAAATTCCTGTATTATTTAGAAGGTCAGAGCTGATTTAAGACAGACTAGCAGTTAGCTCATCAGTCAACTTTGTTCCTTTACAAGGAACCAAAGGAGTCCATTTGCCTTAATTAGGACCTTAGGTTAACTCTGTGCTTAGTGACAGAACTTCCAAGCACTATTCTGCATATTTTTGTCATCATAGTGTTTTTATTTTTTCCTTTTTACATATTTTTGTCTATGTTCTGCTATGTGTGTTTAAAACGCTCAGGAGGAGTTAACATGCGGTCACTAAATCTCTGACACTGTAAGCACAGTGGGTCGCAGGAATAATGATGGCTTGTTAGCACGGCTGCGTAAATGAAAGGCGTTGTGTCGCTTCTGAAGAAACGTTGGAACAAGAAGCAGAGACTTTACTGCTGAGCTGACCTGGTTCAGTGGCAGTGTGTGCTCTGTTTGGCACCTGTTTGTGTTCAACTTTCACTTTAACACTGTAAATAAACAGATTCTGATGGTTCTTACATTACACGTAGCATTACGCATATACATTATAGCATAATGTAATCAAACCTACTGCAGGAACAGCTCTTGGAGTTTATCTTGTCTGACATGACAGAGAAATGTGTGTGTTTGTGTATTAGGTCTCCTGCGTTTGAGTTGCAGCAGTTCAAAATTTTAAATCTTGTTGTCAGTGTTTGAGTTTTCCTGCAGATGCGATAGATGATTTCCTCACAGTGTCTCAGCAGCACGTCTGGTCCAGTCATCTCTTCCTTTAGAAGCTCGGTTGTTGTTTCTTCCTGTTAAACCAACACCAGAGTCTCTCTGGCTTAGAAAGAGGCTGATGAAACTGTTTTTGGCAAGCTCATAGCCTCTTCCTTGTAAGGTGTTCTATTTTCTGTGCATTATTCGAGTGAGTCAAAAATAGAAACTGATATGTCAGAAAGAGACAGTGATAAAAAGCCAGAGGCAAACCAACCACGCGTGCACGCTCACACACAAATGCATGGGCACTTTTTTATTTTTTTACCATGGCTCACTCTGAATTTATTAGATTTCTTTTTTAATCTCCTGTGTCACTCATGTGTTTCTTTTCTCTTTTCTTCTGAATCTTGCAGGTTTTCCTGATCGCGAGGCCTGATTTGCAGAGCTGGAGCTTGGTTATAAAGGAGGAGGGAGCGAGCGAGCCACAGTCATGGAAACCTACAAGGACCTGCTGCTCCTGGGAGCCATCGCAGCAGCGTCTGCCTTCATGGTCACCATCCTCATTGTTCTTGTGTGTGTAGGCTGCCAAAGGTAAGAGGGTGAACCTGATGTGGATGGGTTTCTAGTGGTGACACCAAAGGGCTTAACACACACTCTAGCCAAATAGATAGCAGCATTGTGCGGGTTTGTCAAATGTTTGAAAGTAAAAACGTTCTCATTAAGAATTCAGCACAGTTTTAACGTCCTTGTCGTCCCCAAGTGATAAATGACCCAACAGCAAATCTCTTCCTGCACTAAATCCTCAAAACAAGTGTCCTTGTTGCGTTGTCAGCTTTTTTTAAACATGCCAGCCTCTGAGGGAGAGTTTAATTGTCCTATATGCTCACAAACATCTCTTTATGTGTGAATTTGGTCTTACTCGACTTGTATAAAAAGATTTGGGCTATGGAACAAACTATAATAAAGTGATAACAAGTACAACAGTCAGTTTTATCAGCTCTGTTGAAAGCTTTGCTTCTGGGATCCCTCTCATCATCATCTCCTGCTTTTATGTGTCTCCACTTCCTTGAACTCTTCTCCTCCCTACTTTCTCTTTCCCTCTGTTTGTCCTCTCAAGCTCTTTCATCCCTGGCTCTGAGCAGAGTGGCAGTAATGAATGTTAATGGCTGTGAGTGTCAGCTTAGATGAGATGATTCTTACAGGACACTGAGGAAGAGGAGGAGGAGGAGGCAGGCCAAAGTTGGAGTTGCCTCGCGTCATTTCTCTCAAACAAACTCCACATCAGGCAGAAGCTCCGGGACTCCCCGCAATCAGACTCTGTGTCAGAGAAGAGCAAGAAGCAGCTTCTTTTTTTATTTTTTTAATCCCCATGGACCAATCAGAAGCTGTGTTGCGGCTTTGTTGCTATGGGATACGCAGATAAGAATGTAGGAAAGTGTCGAACCAGCTTTTTTCTGTGGGACTAAAACCTCACAGCAAGAGAATATTATAGAGTATAAGCTCCCAGATGTAAAGCATGTGTTACTGGGGTGATTTCTGTGAGGTTTTTTTTTTCAAATTGCATGGATTACGGTATATAAAATATTGTGCTTCTATGTCTCTTTTTGCCTTAAGCTGCCTCATTTGCTGTATTGTTATGAAAATCTCCAGGGGAGCTCTCTTCACCTTCTTATTGCAGCCTTGGGGATACAATGACCATATGTTTGCACAGAACAGCTCCAGTTTGCTCGAAGAGACAATATCTTGCTCCAGTAACATGGATCTGACACAATCTCTCCAGCAACTTGCATAATAAGATGACGCAGCAGGGCTCCTGCACCTGTTTGCAAACCCCAAAGCACTATTTATTGCAACACTATGTTTTGCAGCACAGCGGTGGGATCTCACGCGTGAAGCGATGCACGCTCGCATCCTTCGAAGTGAAAAGGTGGAGCGCTTCTCACAGTCGCACCTGCATGGAGGAGCTTTTTTCTATGCCTACTTCATCTCCCACAGCATATCAACTGTTTCCTGTAGTCACGGTCACCTCCAGGGATCCACAGTGATGCATAACACCTACAGAGAAACATCTGTTTTAAAAGCAAACTACAGAAAAATTATTAGACTTTTTTTATCTGGAAAGCGAATGCAGTGAAGGTCATCTTTGCTTTAAAAGAAACCTGAGTCATGCTCCATCCACTGCTTGTTTTATCAACCAAGGATTTTTGTGCCCTAACTAGAGTTGGAGGCTGATAATATCTATCTGCTCTGGGTGTGTGTGTTTCTCCCTCTGTCCATGGGCTTCTGCTGACCTTCCTCTCTTTGATGTTGTGTCAGGAAAAGCAAGAGCAAGCACCCCCCAGCCGGAGAGAAAGGGACTTCTGTAAATATGGTGAGACATGCTTTTGCTTTTCTGTCTGCCTCCCTCTCTGTCACTGTCCTTTCTCTCTCTCTGTGCAGATGTACATGCATGTGTTTACACGTATTGTCTCCATTAACAAGTGAGTAAATGTGTGTGACAGCAGGGTACGCTTCGGCATCCGAAACTGAACTCCATGAGTAAATCTGACACCAGGTTGCATGAGATCAATCGCTTTCCCTGCAATGGTAACTGTAAGTAGTAATTAATGTTCCTACATGAGAAGAAATAACAAATTACTCTGAGCTAGAATCAGTCTCATACCTTCCAATGCTTTTGTCCTTTCTCTGCAGCTGTTAGTAAGAGCCGCCCAGCCAGCATGGACCTGCTTCTCCTCCACAGCCGGCGCTCCCAGACAGACCTAAGGCCCTCCCATGCACGACAGCTCCCTCAGATCCCCACCAGCCCTCAGGGATCAAGCCAGGGAGGAGGAGGGGATGCAGGGGGTGATGCTGGTGGAGGAGGAGGTGGTGGAGGGGGAGGAGGAGGAGGCGCGGAGGCTAGAGACCACACCTACACCGAGGTGGGCCTTCGCAATAACCCGACTCCTAGCCACTACCTCGACGATGGCCTGTATGAAAGCGTAGCGGTTCGGGAAACTGAAGCAGGTCCCAAAGTCCCCTCTGCTCCCCCGTCCACGTCATCCAGCACTCCATCAACTGTCAGAGCAGCTCAGAGCCCTCCGGCCCATACTAACGGCGCTCGCAATGGAAATGTACGCACACTCAAAGACACACACACACACAATGGCATTTGGTAATGTCAACTGACTTTGTAGCTTTGAAAATAAAGTTAAAGTCTGATTTGCCATCATCACACACTGGTGAAACTACGTCTCTGCATTTGACCCATCCCCATGGGGAGCGGTGAGCTGCAGCAGTGGCCGCACTCAGGAACAATTTGGTGGTTTAACCCCCCAATACAACCCCTTAAAGTTGAGTGTCAAGTGAGGAGGCATTGGGTCCCATTTTAAGGTCTTTGGTACGACCCAACTGTCGATCTCCCAGTCTCAGGGCAGACTCTTATACCACTTGGCCACTGAGAAAGGTCAAACGCAATCACAATCTGGTTTGATGACATCATTTCTTGTTTAGTCAACATGTGAGATGGAGGCAATGCTCAGCTACTGTTACACCAAGTTTCACCTCCATCTTTGTAAAGCTGACTTAGTCACAGTCTTTTGGTGTTTGGTCGTGTCAATTAGCGGCTGTCTTCACCTTGAGGGGTTGACTTCAAAAGTTAACTGTTGCACATGTTCATCCAATGCTTTGTCTCTCTACTGGTTTATGACAGAACAGAAAGGTCTCAAAGTCACATGATCGTTTGAATTTGCTGTTTCAGTCAGAAATTTACTCAGGCTGATTCTGGACCAACATTTCTGCCTGTGGAAAAGGAAAGTGAACACAGCTGCACAATAAACAACAACAAAAACATTTAAAGTAAACATTGCTCCAAGTAAAGCCTTGCCTTTTCAGCCAGTTAGCATAGCAGCTGCTAGATTTTTTTTATTTACCTGGAGAAGACAACCATCATGGGTCTTAAGAGGAAATGGTTAACCTCCTGGGTGAAATGAAATCGACTGGAGCTTGTTCAGGATGCTTTGCATCAGTGAGTTTTCTGATTGTTGGTGACACAATAATACATTCATGTAAACCATTGTGCTTTTGTGGTTTTCTCCTCTCAGGGCGGCAGAGGGAATGGCACCATTAATGGAGCTTTGACAGTGAACAGATCTCCTTTGTCCTCTGTCAACTCCCTGGTTGTTCAAGATCCATCTGGAGCTGAGTATGCTTCCATACGGAAGTTTAAAAAGGTACACACACATGTTCCTATAAGACTCATTTGAAAGGGAGTTTTATTAAACCTTTTTTTTTTTGACATTTTTTGTTTTTTTGGCATGAATAAAATCAATAAAAGATGTTTTTTCAGGTCAATTTCTTTGTCAAATCTGATTTACTCTGATTTTAACCAGTTTCACTTTATGGGATCTTGACCTCCAAGCTGAGAATATAACGTCATCAATTGTGGTTTAAAATGTCCAGGTTGACCAGTTAAACAGAAAGGAGAACAACGGAGCTGACAGCCAGTCAGACAGCCAGTCAACCATGAGTGATTCTCCATCAGCTGCTCCTCATCCTCTTCATCGCAGTCAGGAGTTTCCACGCAAACCGCTGGAGCCATTTCACCTGCACTCCTTCCCAAAGGTACGAGAATCAGGTGTTATAGAAACACCTGTCAGACCTCCCAACCGTAGGAATGTTTCTCTGCCACTAGAGGGAGATGTCCAACTACAAATATGTTCAATCATGAAGTTATTTTACCCCTTCTTGTCTTTGCCTGACATTCTGTGTGTGTGTGTGTGTGTGTGTGTGTGTGTGTGTGCGCACGTGTGTGTGTGTGTGTGTGTGTGTGTGTGTGTGTGTGTGTGTGTGTGTGCGCACGTGTGTGTGTGTGTGTGTGTGTGTGTGTGTGTGTGTGTGTGTGTGTGTGTGTGTGTGTGTGTGTGTGTGTGTGTTCGCCTCTGCACTTTTAGAGCAAAAAGCCAAAGGATGGATTATGTAAGAGCTTGGCATGCTGCCCGGTTGCCAGTGTGTGTGTGTGTGTGTGTGTGTGTGTGTGTGTGTGTGTGTGTGTGTGTGTGTGTGTGTGTGCTTGAGCAGTTCCTGTTGAATCTATCTGTGAATCCATCTAGAGGCAGCTAACAGGTAGCCAGCGATTCAGGGTGAGGGTGAATCCTTCACACATGTTGAAGCCATTTGTGTTGCCCAGGCTCTTATTACTCACTCTCACTGTGCAGGGGATCGTATAAAAGTTTAATCACCCTCAGCCGCAAGTGCAACCCCACCACTTTGTCTTTACTAATTGGTTACTAACTAGTGTTGCAGACCAGTCGCTATAAAAATAGACAGAGAGAAGTTAGTCCTCTTCTGTTGTTTTCCTTTATGTTTTCAGGTGTCATTCAGTGTTAGCTGCTACTGAAGTCAGCCCCCTTTTCTGTTTTGTAAACTGATTATTTTTCTGTCTCCTCCAAAGTCCAGCTAAGTCACTTCTGCAGGAGTTAAATTAAGGTTGTTTTGGCAGCACAGCACGTGTGTCACTCTGCCCGTCTGGGAGCAGGACCTTTTTAGGAGACAGGATTTGCATAAAAATGCTGTGAAACAGTCGGTCTCACAGCAACAGGGAACTGAAAGAAAATACCTGAAAATTCAAGCAATAAGTAAACAATAGTGCAAGAACAGCACAAGTCATCTAACAATGACACGTTAGCAGCATTCCTTGTAAAACTGTAATACAAAAAGCCTTCATGACACAGCTTGTTCATTAGTTTGGATCTTTACATCAAAGATCAGATTTTTTTTTATTTGTTTAAGTTGTGGTTTATTTGGTCGATACGGAAAACTTTTACTGGACCTGTCAAATTCAGTATGAGCTGTTTACACTGACAGTGAGTCATGAAATCCTGACCTTTGAAACAACACTCACTGTTTCTCAGCATGTCACACACACAGTCTCTCTTACCTGTGTGACTGCTCATACACACACGGCAAACACTCTCTCTCCCTCCGCAGCTTCGTCACGGTTTCACTGCTACAACAAAGAAAGCAAAAAGCCAAAACATAAATGCTAGATTATCCTTTTTATTATTATGTTAATATGTGAAGACTCACAGGCTGCAGTCATATTGGTTTTCTAAAGTCATCCTTTGGATTTGTTCGACAGGAAGCAGTGTTCATGGGCAATGGAGAGCAGTACATCTGGAAGCCTCCAGAGGAGGATGACATCATCACCTTGCACCCTCCACCGCTCCGTGGAGACAACTGTCAGGGGCAACCATTGCCCCCAACTGCAAAGGAGGTAATGTGTGTGTGTGTGTGTGTGTGTGTGAGTGTTTGTTTGTGTGTTTGTGTGTGTATGTGTGTGTGGGTGGGTGGTGTGTGCATGCGTGTGTGTGTGTGTGTGTGTGTGTGTGTGTGTGTGTGTGCGTGCGTGCGTGCGAGTGTTTGTTTGTTTGTGTGTGTGTGTGTGTGTGTGTGTGTGTGTGTGTGTGTGTGTGTGTGTGTGTGTGTGTGTGTGTGTGTGTGTGTCCATGCGTGCGTGTGTGTGTGTGTGTTGACTGAAGGCTGACCATAAACACTAAGCAGACAAGTCTTTGATTTCTCTCGTGTTTATTGACTGATGTGATTAGGCGTGTTGCAGTAACGCTGCTACCTCATGACACTCCCGCCATGCTACGTTTCTGCTTATAGAAAGAGGTTACATTACACGGATCCACAACCCCCACCCCCTGCCTGAACCTTGACCCCAATCTCCCAACCCCCCGCTCATCTGTCTCTGCCTGACAGCTCGGGCGATACTTTCACCTGCTGTCTCATATTAACCATCACTTAACATTCATAGAGTTGTTTATAAATGCATTTTGCCTAAATAGTCCAGTCAAATAGAATCTAACTGGGATGTGGGCTCCACCCTGGATGGGGGTCACCGAAATAGAACACCGTTTATTTTTAGTGCTTACTTCTGTTTTTTACTCATCACTTCCCCTTGAGACTCTGTTTTCAACAAAACTAAATACTTTATGTAATTCACTAAAGATGTCAATCAACGAAAAACCTAAATGATCACTTTTACCGCTATTTTGTATTTTGTCTCATATTTTGCATCTTCGGTAAATAAAACAGATTGAAAATTATACGTTAAACATGCAATTTAAACAGTTATAATCATCACTCTCTATGTTGTTCCACATAATGTCCGACTGCTTACAGTTGATGTCATGCAGTCTATTTTCTGAAGTTTCTTTACTTTTCTATTATTTTACAAACAAGCGTTTCTACATATATTAATGTTTATTTTTGTCTTATTTCACAAGCTGTCTCTCCCTCTACTTTAAGATTTGTGGTTTTCTGTCAAATCTCGTCAGGATACACTGTGTAATTAAGTTTGTAGTTGGCGAGTGAGAGACACGGGTTTATGGTTACCGTAGTAACCTTAATGAGCCACCAACCACAGCTTTAACATTTTAATATTTCTGTTTCATGGATCAACAGCTGCATTGGCACCCTTCCAAATTTCTTCAGAAATGTTCTGGTCATTTATCATTATTCCATGCCCTAAGAAAACAGGTAAAAAATATAATATGTTTAGATGCAACAGTAACAGAGCACACAGCTAAGTAAAAGAATGCTGCTTTTGGAGATTAAGGGGTTAAATCTCTGCTGAACGCTGCCAGTTTAACTTCTTCTATGTAAATCAAACTATTCACAGAGCAACTGGCCTTGACTTTATGCAACTTTCTTAGTTTTTCTTTGTTTATAACATTCTTTTTCCTCTTTATTACCCTTTAGAAGTTGTGTTTTTCCATTTTGGGGTTTGTTGTTGCCCTAACATGCCCCCATATTCTCTGGAGTTTGTCAGTTGCAGCCGTCAAAGGGTGTTGAGTTTCCACTCCCAGCTGAATCTCCTCCTCTCCTCTGGCGCTCTCTCCCCCTGCTCGACTCCCTTTGTGGCTATTAGGAGGCCCTGCCTCTGCCAGCCAATCACGTTGCAGAAAGCGTTTCTTACCAGATGAAAATCAACTGCTGCAAGACCGTTTTGAAAACCGTTTGCTAATCATAAAGTTGATCGCAAACAGACGTTTCAGTCATGCATGTTGCTTCATTTCCACAGATAATCACACGGATAGTTCAGAAACTATCGATCTGAGCTGTGAGTTGAAAACACAACAGAATGAAGTACAGTGTGAGAGGGGAGGAGAAAAGAAAACACAATGGCTTGCTTCCTCACCAGCTGTAGCTCACTTTTGAAATCCCCATCATCTTGTGACTTCCTTCCTCCTCTGCACAAAGCTGCACACTCGGTGTCCACACACAAATACATGCACTTGCACACACACTCACTGCACATTGTCTGCACACACTTATAGCTTACGCCGAGGACTTTGTTTATCCAAAAGGTCACACCCAAGATTTGTGGGGGCAGGGTGTGTGTGTGCCGCTTCAGTTCCATCTGTAACTCAAGAGGAAAATAGTGTGAGACATTCACAGATGAACTCTTAGTCATTTGAACTTTAGTTATCATTCCCTTCCCTTCATTCCCTTGTAGCAGCTGGTTAAAAAAAAGGTGTACTGTTGGTTGTTTTTTATGCGTCAGATTTTTTAGATCAGAACTAGTGTAGACACAGAGAGTTTGCGATGCCGGCATTTCTCAAGGCCAGCAGAACAGATCTGCTGCTGGTGTGGGTGTGAGCACAGAGGGTAAACACCACCATGCTCCACAAACTTCTGCTCCTGTGCTCCACTTGTGGAATTTTGACACAGAAATGCCACAGGTCCCTGAGCTGGTTTATCAGAATTCCTCACAAATGCTTTTCAGTTGTGAGTCCTCGACGTGCCTGTCAGCATGCACAAATGTAGAAATGTGTGTTTATGAATGAGGAGATCCTTTTTATGCACTCACAGCAGACAAACGCGTGGTATGCTCAAAGTTCATTTGAGAAAGTTTCATTATTCAGCGAGCTGGCTGCCATCCAGATCACTCGCACCACACTTTGCTGTTCCGTTGCCAAAGCAGCTGTGGTGAAAATTGAACAGGTTCATCCACTGCAAAGCTAACACTGCTACTGACATGAGCGAAACAAACTGATAACACAGTTAGCTCTGCCTGGTCAAAGTGGGTCAGGTTACAGCAGAGGTCAAGCTCTGTTAACGCATGTGCAAACGTCTGTGCATAAACAGAAACGTGTGCACAATTATTTGCCTGCACCATTTTATTTGTGTTAAACTTTTACTTATTTTATTATTTACTGTACCTTAACCAACTGGATGCAAGTAGACATCAATTTACACAAAACATGCAAAGCCCACTTTCAGTGCAAACCTATATGCTGACTGGCATGCACAGGCTGTAAATTATTAATTGATTCGGACATTGTAAACTAGGCAGTAAAACTTCTTGTAACAAAACCTGTCACCCACAAATGAACAGGCCAGATTTGGGCTGTAGCTGAGTGTTATTGCCTCATTAATGGACACCATGCTGTGCTCTCCTCTTGTGTGTTCCCAGATTGCAGACACTTACTCCATCGTATGCAAAAGCCAGAAGAAGAAACCTCCTATGGAGCACAACGGAGCAAAGACGCTCCCGCGCTCCTTCGGCGGGGAGCGGGGAAACCACGGTTCCCGAGGCCGAGGCCGAGGAGTCCAAGCCCAAGCTCGTTCCCAAGAGGAGCCCTGTTATGAGCCAGTAGGAGACAGGTCCTGGTCCAACGCGGTGGCCGAGTCAGACCCTGCGTATGCCAGTATTGACACCCACCGGAAGCGTGAGCAGGGGGGATCCAATAACAGCACAGGTGGGGGTAGCGCTACTCTGAAGAGAAAGAAGCAAATACCGCAGCAGCCGCAGCATGCAACACCAACAGCACCACAAGGCTCAGAACCCAACGCCCCCCCTGTCAGAGGCCTCCCTGGTGGGGAAAACTTCTATGAGACCATCAGTGATGTAAAACAAGGAGGCAACAGCTCTGGCACTACCACTATCTTCACTTTCAATGATGGAATGGAGATGTACGTCACTGGCCTGTAGCAAACTAATAGGGTCCAGAAGCCACTGGTACTGGTTCTGTTTACCGACCAGCAGGTCGCTGTACATAGACACAGGCCCTCTACAGTCAAGCAACATGAGGATCCATTTTGTGTTGACATCAGGTACAAACAGGGTCTTAATCCAGGTTCAGACTTCCTTTGATTGGTCTGCACTTCAGAACCAGCCTACGCCTAGTCCAGCCCAAAAATGGACCAAAAACAAAAAAGAAAAGTGGTGGAGAAAAACAACTAACTGGAACATTTGTGTTCAGTGTTCTGTGTCACAATCACCTGCTTGTGCATCATTTTTCCATTATATCTTTATTTTTATATGAACACTTTACTCTTTAAAGAGTTCTCACAATCTAAAAAAATACAATTTAGATATATATTTAAAAAATGTGCATGCATCGTGCAAACTCACATGAAAATAGACATCAGTAGCAATCAAAATGCATATTTGTGGAGCGTAAGGTACATAACTGGTGAACTTGCACGTGCCTCATTTTGGGTGACTCACTAAATATGAGCACATTTATATCACAGATGTTTGTGGTGTTTAGCGCTCCCTGAACAAACATGAAACAGGTTCCCAAAGCGCGCTGACCTGTTGTCAGGCAGACGGCATTTTTGGTGCTTTGTTCAAACACAGGCCTGTGGTTTACCGACCTGCTGAAACGCACAGACATAAATGAAAGCTGTCGTCATTCCACAAAGTGTCACTGGCGCACCCCCGAGCTCCGCAGCAGTTATAGGCACAACCCAAATGATGAGTGCAGGAAAGTGAGTTTATCTCAACAGTAGAAGCTTTGTTTAAATTAAACCCAAAGTGAAAAACGTACTCTCAGATTCGACAAACATCTGCTGCCAGAGGCATGTTGACACACCCCATCGCACCCCCACTCAGACACACACATAATTGTCAGTCATGCAAGGTGAAGTGATCGGGTCAGGGGCAGTGAAACGCTTGTGCAAGAATTTCCCCAGAGTGACGTTACACAACAAGACCTCAACTGTATCACAGGAATAAATAAGAGAAGAATATTTAAATAAAAAGAAAGACAAAAGGAAGGGAAAATGTGTCCAAAACAATGCAGGGTGCTTCATCCTGTGCAGTTAATATGCCATTTCCTCTGTGGATTGTAAAAATCTGATTTTTATGACCATTGTAATTTTTGCACTGGACAACTGCCTGACTGCTGAGCTTACTTGAGCATTACTGTTGTGTGGAGTGTAATAAAGCACAGTTGTTCTGATTCGGACTCCAGTCAAAACGAGGGCTGATTCATGACTCACAGACTTGAGTCTTGTGGTTGAAATAGTAACAGAGGTTCTGGACTCCAAAGAAAATAAAAGAGCTGTGCATAAAACTTACCATAGAGTGTCTTTTGGAAAGTTTCTCCTCTCCTTCTCTCCAGCCTCTGTACCGAGTCCTCGTCCACTGAAAACAACACTTTTCCCATGCAGCTTTGGGGAAACATTTAAACAGAAAAGGAACACGGGAAGAAACCAAACATTTGTGGCTTAATAAACAGGCAGAAAGACAAGACGTGATGAAGAGAAGGAAAAAAAGCTCTCTTACTGCGAGACAAACTTGCATGGAGAAAACGGGTTTAGAAAGGTTAGCAGGAAAAGTATATAGATGCTACAGTGTCAGAAAGTATGTAAAAATGAAAACGCACATTGTATTTAAGGTGCTGTCTATTTTTATCGTACCTGAAATGAAAACCGTGGGACAAACAGCTCATACCACTGCCATGAAAACAGTTCTTTTACGTTGTTGATGCTGTTTTTTTCTGCTTGGACAAATGCATGCTTTAATATGTGGAGATAAAAACAAATATTGTGCTACTTATCTCTATTTTTCTGTTGTACTTTTACCATGTAATGCAAAGCAGCGTTCTGTTTGCTTAAAAAAATACTTTGAGGAGCGGGGCAGAGATGGGAGGGAGCTGGTGGGAGAAAATGGCAGCAATATTTGATGGAGTGCTGGGGTGGGGGGGTGCACAGCGAGTATAGAGCTGGACGAGGATCACTGCAAAATGCACACTGACCCCATAGGCCTCTCCCCCTCCTGATTAGTTTTTCCCCCCTTCTTGTGTGTGTGTGTGTGTGCGTGCGTGTGCATATGCGTGTGCGTGTTTGCTCACATCCAAACACACTCCCCAGCACCCAGCCACACGCATCTCTAACCTCTCCTTGCACTTCTTCCAGTCAGACCTGCATGCATTTGCCTTTCTTTTCTTTGCTTCACCTTGTCCCTCTCTGCCTTTGATGCTCGGCTCCGAGGGACTCTGGGAGAGAAAGGCCTTGGGGGGTGGGGGGAGTCCAGCCGACTCCATTCTCATATCAGCAACCTAACGGCTCAACTGTCTGATGTGGGAAACAGCCAACAGCTGAGATGTTTAACAAACTGATCACCCAAACTAAGTCAATTGGAAATTACTATCACACTCCATTCTGTTATTTTATTTATTTGAATTTTCTGTGGTTATTACTTAATATGTAACATTTTATCCTGAGAAAATGCACTGATCCCATTCAATTTTTTCAAAAAATATTATTCACTGACCGAAAAATAAATAAATAAAAAAGTTTATTGCACAAAATAGTATAATGATGTAAATGTGTAAAATTTCACATTGCTGTTCTGACGTTGTTCCAATGTAACATACAGTATACAGTATATTTGTTTAGAGATCTAAAAAAAAGAAGGTTATCACCGACACATCGTACTTTGTGGATGAAAATAGTTTCATGCTTTCCATGCAAATACGGATGCTGTTTGTTAATTGTCTTAAGATATAAATATGGGCCAGTACTGCTGTGACAACTGTAGCCAATGTTGTATGTTCCTCAAGCACAGACTTTAGTTAAAAATGAATAAATATAATATAGTGTGACAGTGGAGATATGCAAACGATTGTAATGTTTTATATTACCCTTCATAAAATATTAAAGTGAGTTTTTACTTTTCTAATAAAGTGGCACATTATGAAAGGTTGCTTTTGCCTGTGGCCTTATTGCTTTGTGAAGAGGAGCTCTGCAATGTTGTTCCTGCTTTGCAGAACATTTACATTTAAACCTCCAGCATGCAACAATGCAACTTATGTCCTTTTTAAAAATTGTATTCATTGTAGAAGTAGGAAAGAAAAGCATAAACACTTTGTTTGCCATCTTCAGGCAATATGTTTTATTTAATAGAAACTTACTCAGTATATATTTTTATTCTGTCTCAATAAAATTGTTTAAAGTTAATTTGACCTAAAATATTTTTATATTATCATCCCTAATTCATCATATTCACAGCAAATAAATATATTAGGAATATAAAAGAATATTTATGCTGTGGTAAACTAAGTTATTTTTTTTATTCTGGGCATCATTATGCAATTGAGATTATAAACACTAACAAAAAATGACAACATCTTTCATTGTTTTGCACAGTAGTATTGTATCCCAGGGATGCCAACAGAATACGTTTAATGGGCTGGATAGATGGGGGCCACTGATAATCTGAGGGTGGTGCACCAAAACCAAAAGCTAGTTTGTCAACATTCTTGGCTTTGCACTGAGGTGCTGTGCAACTGTAACAACCACATTAACATTATATTAATGGAAGTTAAAAGCACAATGGCCATGATTGGTGCTAGAAAAGTACATGTAAGTGTTTTAGCAAATCATAAAATCCACATAAATAAAAACATAAAAACCTTCAAGCTACATTCTTAAATTGAGATTTTATAAAAACATTAAATAGTTTAGAATTGCTTTTATCAAATAAATAGTATGCCTTTATAAAATAAATAAATAAAAATCACCTCAATGCATACTTATTTGTTTAACATGTAAAATATCCAGCCCCTGGGGGAGCGGTGAGCTGCAGACACGGCCGCGCTCAGGAACTATTTGGTGGTTTAACCCCAAATCCAACCCTTTAATGCTGAGGGTCAAGCGGGAGGCCTCAGGTCCAATTTTTAAGGTATTTTTTTGACCCCCAGCCTCAGGGTGCACTCATACCACAAGGCTACCGAGAAGGTTGTATTTTTTCAAACAACCTTTTCACCTGAGAAGGTAGCTATATTCATGAATATAGAGACTGATTTAATGGCCATTGCCCCCCCCCCCTCCCCCCGGCTCTCTTCTACAGACACCACTGCAAAGTTTCACATTCTACTCTAACTTGGTTTACATAACAAAAGTTTTACTTTCATGAGGAGGCTTTGTATCACTTGATCGACAGTAACCCCCTGGACAGTATGCTTCATGCACCGCAGATCCTGATCCACTATGCCCGAGTTTGACTTGCAAAAACATAAATGCGCAGTTCGTTACTGAGGCCTGGAGGCTGTCTTTTCCTCCTGCGCTCCGCTCTCTCTCCTCTCGCCGGCTCTTCGTCGACACCGGCCGGTGAACTGCTGGTCACACCCCCCTCTTCGCTTCCGCCCACATTACTTGTATTAGAAAAAAACGTGATTGACAGGGTGGAGGTGGCCAATCACAGGCCGCCTCGGTGTGGACGCGTGCCAATGTGTAATGTTTATGTATTCTGAGGACCAATAGGAATGCAGTGGAGGGGGCGTGGCGTTGGTTTGGAGAAAAGAGGCAAAACAAATCTTTTATCAGCCGGGCGGCTTTTTGGATATCCTGGGTTTGCGGTGGTGGCGGCAGGGGTGGAAAACTTCACATGTAGGCTAGTTTAGACAGTTCCTATCCATCTGCGACAATCTCGATAAATGTATCTAACTCCTGCAGTTTTCACTAACATCTACAGAAAGCCCGTTTTCTTCCTCTAGTCTCCGCTTGCCCCGACAACATGGAGTCCAAATATCTTTTCGAGAAGTCGTCGGTTGGGACAAGCGTCGGCGTGGCGGATTTCAACTACCGGGCAGGCCGCTCCGGTCTGCTCGACGCCCGCTTCGTCCCGGTGTACGGGCAGGGGCCCGTCCTTTACAAATTTGTGACGGACGGCGGCTCGACTACAGAGGTGAAAAACGAGCGCACTTCGTCCAAGGGGAACGGTCAAGCTTTGCAGGACGTGGAAAAAGTGAGTGCTGCGTGTTCGCTGGTGACTTTTACCTGCTGCCAAAGTCACAGATACCAACTGTGAGCTCTTTATTTTGACAGCCTATGCTGATAAAACCGCGTAGCGGTTACATCTGTGACGCTGGCTGCCAGACCGCTTTGTTGTGTTTGATGTTTTCGGTAATGTCAGCACCGGTGGGTTTCTATAAAGCGTATGTTTCACCAGGGGCTTCGCGACACAGTCTTACAGCTTTAAATGGCGGCTCGATCTGTGCTTGAAGTTTTCAGAAAAGGGGGGCAGGGACTCAAACTACAGGCTTACCCCCTCCCCCCACGGCGGCAGGGTGGAGCTTCTACGTGGGCTTCCTGGCTCCTCTAGACTCCCTTAACTGTTCATATACATATGTGGTAAATGTTGACCCCTTTTTGACGAAAAAGTCTTGCTTTTCAGTTGGCTTGCATGAAATTAGACGTTTTTTATATTTTTTTGTGACTTTATGTTTCTCAGTGAAGCCAGTAGTAAAATTTAGTTGTCATAAAAATGACCAAATCACTACATTCATTTTTAAAATGGATAGATCAGCCTTTTAATTTAATCAAAAACACTGGATTGCTGTCAGTGCCCCATTTAGCTATTGGGGGGGGAAACATGGATGTCCAGGGGAAAATATTCAATTAACCAGGTCAGATCAATATCATTTGTGCTATTATTGGGTCAGAGTTTAGATATGCTATCATGTTGACTCCTTATTTACCGTTTTCTCTTATTTGTTGCTAACCCACTAGTTGTTAATGATTGATACTAACTAAGTATGTGCTTTTCTGGGTGGAGTGAACTTTTTATGGCATCATGAGTTGGGAGGAGGGAGCCAACAAAAGTTTACAAAACTCAGGTTTATGTTAACATGTGTATCCCATATGCTTTACACAACGTAGACCTTTGCACTGACAAACACGGATTAACATGTTTACCAGTTGGGTATGCAAAGAGGGAGCATGAGGAACATGCTGCAGTATTGTAACATTTCTGGTGTTTATTTTTACTCCTTTAAGTTTGTGGAGGTTGGCATCAGCATCCTCTAGCTCAACATCCACATTCAGACTGATTGTTGGCTTCACAAACTGACATTAGTGTGCTTTGCTTTATTTTGTAGGCTGGACTTAGGGACCAAAAAGACACTGGTTCCACTGGGATCCTGAAGAGGACCAGTCCCACTCGCTGTCTTGGCTTGAACAGGTCGTTGCCAGGCAGCTTCATGAATCTGGACATCAGAAACCCAGGGAAACAGGCAGAGTTGGCTGGCAACTTTGGGGCAGCACAGGGCCAGACTGTACCACAGGCAGAGAGACAGGTCCTCTCCTCCTCCCACATCCCTGTCCCCAGAAACAGGTATGTAGGCAAATGCAATCCCCTTGTCTTTGATTAAGTGTCTGAGGCATTACTCGTTTCATTAATTTTCTGCAGTGTAAACATTGATTCCATAAGATTGTGGACTGCACAATTAACCATGAGAGCCCTGTTGGTGTGTTTGGTTCTTGTGTCTATTAAAGTAGCACCAGGGGCTAATTTGGCAGCAACTTTGTTGTACAAAAGCAATTGGTGCTGGCAGTTTTTATACTCGGCTCTGATTTGCATTTCTAGTTTGAACTAGAAGTGAAATTCAGCATCTCGCAGCACCCGTACAGTGGTTTAGCCATGAATGATGTGGGGGCGTACCGGTTAACTGACCGCATGTGTAGTGCTCCATCCAGAATAGTTTCGAAATACCATGCATTTGGCAAGCTGGAGTTTGCAGTGAGGCCCAGGATTGCTCAATCACTTGACCAAAGGGAAAAACTTGGGGCTGGAATGAATTCTGCTTATAAGTTAGTTTAGTTAGTGACATTTGGGAAAGTTTTTACTTGTCTGATCATCACTGTTTTAAAGCATGATGCTGTCTTTGTTGACCTACTTCTCAAAGAGAGGGCTAGTTGATGTAAAGTGCTAGCTGGATGTCAGGCGGTAAGATAAACATTGTTGTATCTGACTGGATTTCTCTTTGCAGCGCAGTTTGCATTTGCTTTGGCGTTTTTACACAACTTCACCAACACCTTTGTTTCCATTCAGCTCAGTTTAAAATACATGCACACACACTCCCAACGGTTTTAATTCAGAGCCAGAGAAACACACATCCAGGGACTGGTCTAATGCACTGATAAGTGATTATGTAATATTAAAGAGGACTGGGAGTGGCTGGAGGTGTTGCCTAAGGGTTAATAACCTCGTTTTGCTCTGCTATTGGTTACTTTCTGTGTCAAATCATTGCCGGTTTTTATCAAATATGTCAAGAGGCAGTGTAAAACCTAAGAAGGTTAACTCTTACTCATTTTCTGAAATTTAGTTTTCAGGATAGATGTTGCATTCAGTCAAAACAACAAGAAAATGGTTAACAGCTGCAAGGAATGAGCTCAAAGTGTGGAAGGGTGTGTATAGTTTACATGTTTAAACAGCACACTCCTTCGCAGCACGTGGATTTCACGTGCTGTTGGTCATGTACAGTATGAGCGAGAGAAAGCCTCTGGGGAGTAAGACGGAGACGCTCATGGATATGGACAGAGAAAACAGCTATTTTTGTCTCCATGTCCACATGTTAACCAGATTTGATCTTTTAAGTGTTTTTGGCTTATTGCTAACTATCGCAAAACAGTGGTACAAAATCAACAAAATGTTAGATCATCCCACAGAATCCACTTAGGGGGTCGCATCACATTATATAACAGCTTGTTAATATTAGTGACACCCGTGTTTTGTTGACATTTTATATTAGCTCCCCCTGTCTTTATCTACTCAAATTTGTTTTAGCGCTGGTGAAAAGGCACTCCCTCTCGAAAAAATACAACTGTGTCTTACCCAGTGGGAGTTTTCAATGCATTACACCTTAGGCACTCTGGCAACTAGTGAAATACTTGTTTAAACTAAACCAGTTAAACTTGGTTTGTGATTATTTGCCTCACTGTTTGGTTTGTTAAGCATAATAAAAAAATACTAGGATTTTCACATTATCAAGATAACTTTTCTAATTAAAGGTTTTATTCAGTTGTTTTATCAATAAATCTGCTGTGGTCTCTAGTGTGAATGAATACTTTGTTATAGGGATGTGTATTGGTGAAATTATGGCGATACGATATGCATCACGATGGAGGGGAGACGATACAATGCATCATGATATATCATGAAACGTTCAGTTAGACGATATTAGCGATTATTTTTAGACTGAATTCATTGTAGGAAAATTCAATGAACAGTCCAATCCGACACTTAACATGTTAAGCATGAGGTATCTGAACCATAATAGAGGGATTTACATTTCAATGGTGGAAACCAAACCCATTGCACACTGCTGCCAACTAGCGGTCGGCATTTGAATTGCACTAAAAGAAAGGAAAATACACAAATGTTTGCATGTAAATTCTTCCAAAAATTAGATATACGGGTTTTGAATATTGATATAATATCAAGGGAAAAAATATCACAATATATTGCCATATCGATATTTTCTTACATCCCAACTTTGTTAGTTATTTCTGTGCTAAAAAGCTCTTGCGCTCCTGTTTCAGGGGATAGAACTTTGTCGGAGGAGTGGGTCAGTGGAAAGTGACAGTATTTCAACTCTTTCTCATTAATATTCATGATATGCAAATGCATAACCTCTGATTGGCTAACAGCAACGCAGCTCTTCCACCGCCATTTTCATTCTTTTCTTGGGTAAAAAAATGCAACATTGACGAGTTATCTTCACAAGTAACACATGCCTGAATGTGTTCAGCCTTGTTGTGGTGTTGCTAATGCTAATGGTTAGCTTCTACTAGCTGAGACGATCTCTACTGGCCACAAAAATCAACACAGCCTTCTGCAGTCACAAGCCAAGGTTGGACCTAGAAAAGACGGGCTTTGCTTGACCTGACTGTTTTCTTGTTTCTGTCCTTTCTGCAGCTACAGGTGATAGGGGATGGACTATTTTCATGTTCATCATGCATATGCAACTCAGAGTGACCAACTGTATTACAAAAAGAACAATTGCTACACATTTTCACAAGCCATTGAACTAAAAGCATAGCTGTGGTTACGTTTTAGTAATGCACTAATTAAAACATGCAAAGATTTGGTACTTTAGTTTAAAAGTTGGCTTTTACTTTTGCTGCAGCTTTTGTTATTAATGTTTTTGTACTTGCTTAAGTGGATTAAACATTTAAGTCTTTTTTTAATAGTTTCACCAAGTGAGCTGTATATTTCTTGTTAATAAGTTATAGTGGGGAACTAGTAGCTGAAATCTCAGGATCTCTAATCCTGCATATGTGGGTGTGACCTACTGTGAGAATTGTTTCACTCATTACCCTGTTTCGGATAATGTAAACAAAACCATTTTGTTTCACATGATCCCTACCATCTTACATAACACTATTGGTGTGTCATGGGACTAGATATGTTAATGTATTTGTTGCATTGTCTGTTGCATTTTGCTTCGTGTGTAAAACCTTGTTAAGTTAGTTTGCGAAAGCTGCAAAGTAGGTCACTATCCCCTCTAACAAGTTTGGGCAAAGACCTTGCAGGATGAGAGAGGAATACACCTACTCACATATGTGCAAATTTGTTGAAACTAAGTCAAACCTACAGAGCATATATGAAAACTCCCACCCTTTTTGTCAACTGCTCCTCTATGGGTGTCGTTTGTTGTGCTCTGCCTGATTAAGTCTCTTTTTGTGCCACGCCCCCAACAGCAGCACATGTTCGATCTGTCAGTACTCATCAGCGTGGGATCTCGTGCTCTGATAATAGAACAAAGAGCTGTCAAAGTGAACAAAACATGAAGACAAAACCAAGAGAAGGGTCATTAAATTCTGAAATGAAAAGCTTATCTCACTAGTTGCTCAGGTGCACTGTCACCACTGTTGGTTAACACGAATGGGGATCTCTGACTTGGCATAAACAAGACACCGAAGCAACCAACTGCGGTGGAGGGGGGAAGGGCTGCGCTGGAGGAGAAAAGAAGGCTGTTTCTTCTATTTGCTGACAAGTTTTTGACTTGGTTTTCTGTAAAAGTCAATAAAATGGGGTGGGCCAAGCAATCAGACGGGAGGGAGTGAAGTCCACCTTTCAAACCAACCTTATCTTGATCACTTCAATACCAATTCGGTATTGAAGGAAACATTACAGCCAGTTTGTTGAAGGTCATAGTCAGAGGCTCAGCTACCCACCCCCACTCCTGTCTAAGAGTGTTTAACCCATATCCAAACTGCTGACAGTGCCTCCCTCTGCTTTTCCACCGGCTGCTGTCTTTTGCATAAGTGTTTCTCTAGAATCCTTATTTATCCTGTCAATGTTATCGTATACAAAAGTCTTTCTAAGCTTGATGCTTCATTGTCATGTGCCATTTCAGCTCGCCCCTCCCTTTTTCTCTTTTTTTCAAACCGTGAGGTTAAAGCTTGTTTTCTGACAAGCAGGGGTCAAAGGTTGCTCTTAGTGAATGGAGTTATGTGGGAGGGGTAGGACAGATCAGGACGTGAACAGGCTTCTAGCACCTCTAGTAGGTCAACTTCAGGATCTAGGTCGTGGCGCTGCTCAGACAATTTAAAACCACAGCAGACGGCTCATCATTCAACGCTGCAGCTTTATTATCTGCTGATTTAACAAACAAGGAGCTGGTATCATGTAACATTTAAAAACATGTGGTCTTCTTTTTTGGTGTCAGCGTTGTCAGAATCCTTCATTCTTTTAACGCTAATTGGAGCTGTGGGGTGGAAGAAGTGGCTGCTAATAGGATAAACGTGTTATGCTTTTGTGTGCTTGTGGGTATGTAGTCTAATTAATCACGTGCTGTTATGCAACATAGATGAAAAGCACATATTTATTTTGTTGTATGTTCAGTTGTAAACAAATACATCTTTTTGTGCACTATCATATTTGCACTTTGCACACTGTCCTGATGTGGAAAAAGAATAAGAAACACTTATCTAAGGTAAATGGTAAATGGCCTGTATTTGATATAGCGCCTTCTAGAGTCCTGGAACCCCCCAAGGCGCTTTACAACACAATCAGTCATTCACCCATTCACACACACATTCACACACTGGTGGGGATGAGCTACAATGTAGCCACAGCTGCCCTGGGGCGCACTGACAGAGGCGAGGCTGCCGAGCACTGGCGCCACCGGTCCCTCTGACCACCACCAGCAGGCAACGTGGGTTAAGTGTCTTACCCAAGGACACAACGACAGCGACGGACTGAACTGCAACCTTCCGATTACGGGGCGAACACTTAACTCCTGTGCCACCGTCGCCCAAGGGGGGAGGAAACTCCTGCTGAGCATTTCGGGAGTAAAATGCTTCATCACTCACTCGCACACACTGATG